CACACACACACACACACACACACACACACACTCCAACATGCCCCTCGATGTATCTGTCCAAATGTTCTCTTAACATAACCACCTAACTATTTAGATACGCACTTCCAGTGCATACCATAGTGCTCTACAGTAGCCTTGGGTTGCCATGGCACCTACCATCTATCCCTTAAGCACAAAATTCCCAAATCGTGCTTCTTTCATCATTTCTAGTAATTACTACATCCTCTGGAGCGTGTCATTTGTCCCTGGCAAACAGCTTACACATATCTAAACCATCCTCCTGGCAAAGAAATAAGGATACACGCAGGCTTAGTGTCACCATGCTGCTCTCTGATTCTAATGATGGCGCTGATGGTAACAACTTGATACTAACGATCCCATTCATTTCAATTTGCATCTCCCTTTAGATACTAAAGAGCCATTTCTCACTCAGAGACTAACATTCCTGGATCTGAAGGTGTAAATAGAGCTTAACAGGTTGACTCCACTAAGATGCAGGGCTGGAAAGGATCTCTAAAATACGAGGCTTGGGGAAGTATTTCAGTTGGTAGAGTGCTTGCATAGCATGCTTGAAGCCCTGGGTTCCATCCCTCATCACTGTAGAAAATCCAGTGGGTATCACAGGTTTATACTCCCAGAATTTAGGAGATGGTTGCAGGAGACCCGGTCCAAGGTCAGCCTTGGCTACATAGTAGATGCAAGTCCTGTTTGGGCTACATGAGACCCTGCCTCAAGAAAAAACAAATAAATGCAATTTTAAAAAAGAAAAGGGGAAACACTTGCAAAGAAACTCAAAGAATTAGCATAGCGTCACAGGGATTTAGAAAGGACACAGGCCTCAGAGTTCCAAGGACTCAAGATGTTAATCACCAGATTAAAATCTCTGAAACTTTATTTTTTTAAAAGATTTATTTATTTATTTTTATTTTATGTGCATGGTTATTTAGCCAGCATGCCTGTCTGTGCACCATGTATTTGTATATGCCATCTCTCTAGCCCCGTGAAATTCAATCTCTTAAGCTTAGAAAGATGTCAGAAAAGTCCATTCCACAGGATGCTTTGAAATTAAGAAAATATTATTAGTAGTGCATGTATGTGCATATGTATGTGTGATCTATGTGTGCATATGTATATTGTATGTTTGTGTGTGTGATATATGTGTAATGTATGATGTAAGTGTGTATGTGTGTGATGTATTTGGGTATGTGTGTATATGATGTATGTGTGATATATGTGTGTGTGTATGTACTAAATACAGATATGTATGTATTGCCACACTCTGTGCTATGTGTAGAGATCTGTGGCAAACTTCATGAGTCGGTGCTCTTCTTTCACTGTGGGTTCCTCCAGGGATCAAACTTGGGTCTTCAGGCCTTGGGGGAATGTGTTTTTACCCACTGAGCTATCTTGCCACGTAAGAGGATTTCTTGAATGTTTAGTGAGGTGGCCTTGAAGGCATTTGTCCTGTCGTAGATGCCCAATAAATGTCACTTTTCTTTCCTCCTCAGAAAGGGACTTCAGTCATCCAAAGCTCAGCATCAGGCAGCTCAGTCTCTGTGTAATCCACACACCCTGAGCCTGCGCCCTATCCCTTACTCTGTGAGTAAGCACACCCTGCCCCCTCCCTCGCTTCCCCCCACCCCCGCCATTGCCGCCAGGATTTTCCCCTCCAGATGCTTGCTAATCTCCCGTGAAATGCACATATTCTCTGCAGTCATCAGCTTCAAACAGAACACGTGTGGTAGGAAGAGCCATGCCAGCCTCTTCTCCTTTGTCAAAATATACACACCATCAAGTACTTTCATTTTAAAAGGTGCTTTCAGAGGTAAACCTGGTCTGTCTGCGCTCCCACAGCAGCCTGGCCACACTGTTCCTGAAGTGTGGACCCATGCCAAGTGCTACTTTCATTTGTCTATCATCTATCTATCTATCTATCTATCTATCTATCTATCTATCATCTATCTACCTATCTATCTATCTATCTATCTATCATCTATCTATCTATCTATCTACCTATCTATCTATCTATCATCTATCTATCTATCTATCTATCTATCTATCTATCTATCATCTATCTACCTATCTATCTATCTATCATCTATCTATCTATATATCTACCTATCTATCTATCTATCATCTATCTATCTATCTATCTATCTATCATCTATCTATCTATCTATCATCTATCTATCTATCTATCATTTATCTATCTATCTATCATCTATTTATCTCTATCATCTAAGTATGTATTGTGTATGTGTGTATGTTAGTATATGTATGAGTTTAAGAGTATGTGAGTGCTTGTATGGGTGTATTGAGTGTATTATGCGTGGGTGTAAGTGTTTGTGAGTGGGGACAATCATGTCATAGCATGTTCCCGTGGGTCAGAGGACAGTTTTCAGGTCTCATCTTCTACCCTGTTAAGACAGAGTCTCAGATCTCTGGCTGTTTCTGTTGTACTTTGGACACCAGGCTAGCTAAGCTTCAAGCCTGGGATCAATTCTTCTTTCTCTGCCTCCCATCTCAAGTGCTCGATTACAGATATGGACTGCCTCATCCGGCTTTCTGTGTGGGCTCCTGGGATTGACCACAGGTTGTGAGACAATTTTATCTCCCAGCCATCTCCTCAGCCCCGTGTCCTCTTTGGGAACGCACGTTGTCCCCAGCCATTGAAAGGCACTATGGCAAAGATCAGATATTTGTCTCTGTTTTGTTGCTCAGGATAGGGCCATAATCATGTTTCAAGTTATAAGATGGAATTGAACTGTCCATCCTTGGTCTATAGCATCCTAGTGCTGTGTTATACTTTGTAATTCTTTAGTTCTCTCAGAGTCTCAGAAATTTCAAGTATTGAACATTTTCTTTGTTCCTTAAGAAACTATGGTGTTAAAAACAGTTTTGTTACATTGTTTTGCTTTTAAAGCCAACACCCAACCAAATAAATAGCTCACACTAGCTGCAAGCTACTTTCAGCTCACCATAACCTAGGGCACCACCACCCACCCGTGGAGGCTCAGGGGCAGCTTGCGAAAGCAAATCCTGGGTGTGCTTGCCTGGTGCCTGGAGAGTTCTGTGCCTAGTAACTGTTGTGAAGGTGGCCACAGGTCGTGGGTGGCGGCCGCTTTGACTGCCTTGGGCCACAAAATCAGTGGAGCTGACTAAGTTACAAAAGGAGCAGCACTCCTTCTTGGAGAGGTTCTTCAGCGCTCACACCTCGCCCCTCCCTCCCTTCCTCCCCTCTCCCTCTTTAAAGGAAATGGGAACAAACTCAGGCAGGGGCCCTAAAGAGAGTGATTTTTATTAACAGACTCTCACCCCATAGCAACTGGGAGTCCACAGTTACTGAAGACACAAATAAACTGAAGACACATCTGGGAAGAACAATTGAAGGGATGGATTCAGTCAGTTGTTAAGGAGACTTCCAGAAACTGTTGACTAGTTTTTGAATTTTCAGGTGGATTTCACAGGGGCACCCATACCACGCCGCTCTTGAAAGCAGTGGCCTGTGGCAAAGACACTCTGCTCTAGTGGGAGCTTTGCCTTGCATGGGTGCACTGGTTACAAAGCTCTGGTGAAGCCTCCTTATCTCATCTTTTAATAAAACACACCACAGGGCTATTTATAAAGTTCAGTTCGATGCCTGTATTCTCGGCAAAAGGCGGGCTCCGTAGATGGTTCCAAATGGCCCCACTGCTGAGGCCAAGTAGAAGCCAGGTCTCACCCCGAGACACAGCACTTGTTTGTTTGTTTGTTTGTTTGTTTTGCTTAACTACTCCTTGGCAGAAACACTTCTCTGACTCTTTAGTCCAACCCTTTCATTTCATTGCCGAGGAAACCAAGACAAATCTCACACTGCTCACCACCACGGAGGGCCACCGGCAAAATGGCAATGCTTTGGTAGGCAAGGCTGTTTGAGTGCTGTATTGGTCGATCTCCGGTACCCAGTGCAGATCAGAATATTAGGCTAAATGGGTCTTTGTGATTGCATTGTCAGTACGCCATACACATGCATATATAGCCTGAATCCATCTAATCTATAGACTAGAAAATACTTTCTAGAACAAGGCGAGTTCATTTGATGTTAATTATCAGAAAAGCTGAGATCCTGATAGTGCTTAGCAATTGGGGTAATCACAATGTATTAGGCACTTTTTTTGTGTGCCAAGCATCAGGCTGAGTATTAACACACATCCTTGTGTCTTTCTTTGCTCAATCGACTCAGTGTCAGAACTCTCCCTAATACTTAATCCCGTGACCTGTAAAAGCTGGCACAGATAAAAAGCTTCAGTCTGACTGTGGACTCTGTGTGCTCATCAACTGTGCTCAAATCAAATCGTTTCTGAATTCCTAATGTGGTGTGTGCGTGTGCATGTGTGTGTGTGTGTGTGTGTGTGTTTTAAGTGGGTAATTAAAAAAAATAGTGTTTCCAGAAATAAAGCACAAGAGGTGAAGGCTGAATTCTTGAATCCCTGAGTCTGGAGCGAGCCCATTTGATAGTGACTTATAATTACTATATTTCAAATTGCTCAATCATCTCCTGAAGATAGATTGCAGGGCGGGGCGGGAGGTTCCTTTCAGTTCCTTCCAGTGAAATATTTCTGTGTTAGCACAAGACAAGAAGTTCTGTAAGGTACGGGATACAGCTGGAAACGCCAGGCTTCCTGTGGCCCCGTGCCAGCTGGAGGAAATAAACAGATTTCGTTCCCATTGGATACGGGTGCCCTAAGAAAAGTGTTTCCTGTCATGTTGCCAAGACAGTGCCAGCTGCTCACAGCACTGAGTCAGGGGAGAGCAGAGAGAAAAAAAACCCTGAATGATATTTGGGGAAGAATAAAAAAAAAATAAGAAAATGACAGTTTTTCCATTTTACTAATAGGTCATAAACTTCTACTAGAACCAAGAGTTGAATGACAGCTCTGTTATGTGTGTATGCCTGCCTACGAAAGCCAGAAATCGATAGCATCTTCCCCATCACTCTCCACAGCATCAGTAGCACCATTATTGTTGTTGTTTTATTGGCTCAGTTTTATTATGTAGCCTTGGTTGGTCTGGAATTTGCCCTGCAGACTAGGTTGGTCCTAGACTTGAGTCTTTGAAGAGATCTGCTTGTCTCTGCATCCCAAGAGCAAGGATCTGAAAAGCTGACTCCAACTTACTCTTTTTGCGTCCTGGTCTCTTGCTAACCCCGAAGCCCACTGATTTCGCTAGACTGCTTGACCAGTCTAAAGATTGATCCATCACTACCTCCTCATGCTGAGATTACCATATTCAGCTTACTTTTTTAAAGATGGATTTTTGTTTGGATGTTTGGCCTGCATGTGTGTATGCACACCACATGTGTGCCTGGTGGTAGCAGAGGTCAGAAGAGGTTGTCAGATCTTTTGGAACTGGAATTGTGGGTGATTGTGAGCCATCGTGTGGGTGCTCAGAGCTGAACTCCTGGCTGCTGCAAGAAGAACGAGTTCTCTTAGCTGCTGAGGAGCCAGCTTTCCAGGCCCCGAGATCCAGCTCTCACATGTGTTCTGGGGATCCGAACCCAGGTCCACATGTTTGCTGGGCAAACGCTTTAGTTTCTGGGCCACATCACTTCTGATTCTTAAGTAAAGTTTATTTGGCAATGAAATGGGCAGCGGGCGCTCTTCTTAGAAGCTTCGCAGGTAGCTGGAGCTCCAGGCACCAGAGAGGGCAAGTCCCTTGAGGTCTGCAGCCTGAACGTGGCAACCAGCAACTGTGAGGGATCGTCTTCAGGCTTCCTAGAATCGGCCAGAACGGTGTCGACATCTGACCTCTGGTATACCTCTTATGTGAGAACACAGGCCTATGTTTTCTTCCACCCATTCCAACAGCCCCTGACACTAAGGACAAGCATCAGCCAGGCGTCCTCAGGCACGGCATTCTGTGACCTCGCTGTCTGCAGCAACTTGACTGTGTGTGTCCCCTGGACTGGGGTCATTCTGTTACCTTATAGAGAAGGAAAGCAAGGTGGATCACCACAGCTCTTGTCAGCATTTAGACAAAATGCCGATGTTGTGACATGCAAGGCAGGTGCCACCTGATCTCTGAGCAGTGTACTAAGTGACCCTGTGGCTCAACCATCGTCCTTATATTTGGTCAAGGCGCTGCTGCCTCTGTCCCAAATGTACTTCTATTAGTGGACACTCACTTGACCTTGTGGCTCCACATTAGCAAGTTCAGCCCTAACCCCACATGCCTGCTTATTCACCAGACCTGCCTGAGCATCCTCCAGGGGAAGTTCTGGTTTGTATGTCACTGGTGCCTACCACTGTGCCAGGCCATTTCATGAACTAAATGAATCTGGCATTTGGAAAATAATCAGTCCTTTGGTATGTAAGTGTGTTTTTACTCACAATGTGTGTGTGTGGGGGGGGGAATAATTGAAAACAAATTGATAAACCAGCAAGAAAATGGTACTGAAATTTTAACTCGGTAGTGAACACGATTCATTCCAACCAGGCCAGGCCTTCCTCTACAGTATGGTTCGCAAGATGTCTGGCCTTAGGTGCCTTCCCTACCTGCTTAGCATCGTTCCTAAAAACCCCTGTAACTTACTTCTATTGACACTTTGCTAAAAATAAAACACATTTGCTACCTTGCCATCTTCAAAGTCAGTAGAGATTAGCAGCTTCGGTTAACTTATTACCCATCCTTCTATCTGCTCTATTTTCCCTAGACTGCCTGCCTGGATACATAGTGAAAGAATTACAGGGGGGACCGTCCAGGAGAGGGGGCAGACCTGAATGTCTGAGCTAAGGAACCAGGAGCAGGTACCGTAGGTCGGCCAGTGGTTAAGTGTAAGAGTAATCTCAACCAAGATACCCTGGTGTGAAGTGCTGAGTGGCCTGTGGCTAGCCACTGGGCTTCTGAAGTTCTGTTTCTTCATTCAGGTACTAATTGATGTTAGCAGCAAGACCACTTGCTTCAGCGGAGCTGTGGTTAAAGGAGAGACCAAGCAGCAGATCTTGAGAACCCGCTGTGTGGTATAGAGTAGGTCTCAGTAACACAGCCATTGGAGGCCGGAACTTTGACCCTGAAAGGATGGCTGGGTTTTTACTCTTCAGGCATTCTGTGCTGATGTGTAGTTGAATCCCAACACTAAGGAGGCAGAGGCAGGTGAATCTCTATCAGTTCAAGGTACACTGGTCTACAGCGGCTAGAACAGCCAGGGCTATACAAAGAAACCCTGGAGTGGCAGCGGGAGGGGGAAGAGAAAGAAAGGAAGGAAGGAAGGAAGGGAGGGAGGAGGGAGGGAGGGAAGGAAGGAAGGAAGGAAGGAAGGAAGGAAGGAAGGAAGGAAGGAAGAGAAGAAGAGGGTGGATAGATGTTCTTTTTGGAAGAACATAAAAGAACCCAGGCCCTTCTGGACTTCACCCGACCACCCCCAGACAACCCCAGATCCCCACCCCACCCCACACCCCGCGCCACTGCCGCCTCCCTTTCTTCCTTTCTCAGCAAAGGCCATCTTCCTACACAGAGTCCCTAGCCCCCGATTCCTGGGCGTACCCTCGATTTCTGGCACGGAGCGGCCCCTCGCTACCCCGCCGGGAGAACTAGTCAACAGCGGGGTGGACGGGAAAAGTGACATAATCTTTGCAGCGCCCTGTGCCACCAGCCTCTCCCACAGCGCAGGCCTGGTTTCTGCTCTCCTTCTCCCGCGCCTGCGGCCAGGGATTGAGGTGCTGAGGACTCCGGGCTCCCGCCAGCCTTGGGGTCCCTCTTGGCTGGGGAGGGGGAACCCGGGCGTGGGCGGCCGGGATGCACTTTTCAGGAATGCCGCGGCGGCAGCTCGGTCGCCGGGCACGCTCCCAGGACCGCCGCCCCCTCGGAGCCGGATGACGGAGTCTCGAAAGACTTTCACCAAATATGGGCCGAGGCTGGAAACGTCCTGTTCTGCGCGTCGCCGGAAACCTCGAGTCGAGTCGGGGCCACCGCGGGAGTGCGGATCGCAGGCCAGCGGCCCGCAGGGGGCGGCGGCTGCAGGACCCAGCCCGGTGGCCAAGGCCCGGTGCCCTCGTGCCCTCTCGACCCGCAAGTCTGTCACTCAGTTCCCGCCCCCGCCACCACCACAATCCCAGCCACCCATGTCTGACCATGCCAAGTTGTGGGGGTGAAGAAGCTGCAAAAATGTTGGGTGACAGAAGGTGCCACATTAAAGCTTCTAACAGACACTGTAAATGTGGCTATAAAAAGTGAACTCGCGAGCAACTCCCTGTCTGATTATGGACACACTCACATGCGTGAGGGTGAGGAAAGGGGGGGGGTAGGAAAGGGGTATTAGGGTGAGGTGAGGGGAGATAGACAGAGAAAAGGAAGGAAGGAGGGAGGAGAGAGGAGGCAGAGGGAAAATGAAAGGGGGAGGGAAGCACTCCTGTGGTTCAGGGCAGAGGGACCAGCAGCATCACCTAGAGCCTTGTTAAAATACAGCCAAGGAGAAACTCTGGAGTGGGGCCTAGCAATCCAGCTTAACCAAGCCTCCGCGAGACTCTGGTGTATGCTCGAATTTGGGACCTACTAAACTAGGAAGCTGGAGTGGACAGGTTTGGGATTATGATCAGTCTCGGTTGCTGCCAGACAGTGAAACCTCCTTGGGGTAATCTAAACTTCCCTGGCAGCTGCAAGTGAGACTCTCCAGGTCTCAGCCGAAGCCAGGAGCCGCAGAGGACAAGCAGTCCTTTCTCATTGACTTGAGGCTCAAAGAAACACGTGGAGGGACAGTGGGGGGAAGGAGCCACACAAATGAGCACCCGAAGCAACACTTACCCACACCGTTTGCACATTCCCCTCGTCTGTCAACGGAAGATCTGTAGCTCTCAGCAGAGGAGGTGAGAAGGCGACAGGACGTCTGGGGTTTCTGGACCATCCTAGGCAAGGACTTAAGGAACCGCTGTTCCTCTTGGTTACCAGTAGGCGAAGCAGGGCATGCTGTCTGCCAAGGCTGTGCACACAGGTTACAGCAGCCTCTCCTCCGGCACCTCCTGGCCTTGTGGACTCCAGCTTCCCACCCCTTCCCACCAGACAGCCGCTGCTTTAAATGGGCTGCTGATGGTAATGTTCTCCGGGTTTCTCCTCTGGGGACAAGCCCATTCTTTGAGATTGCCCAGTTGGAGACCAGAAACAACCCCCCCCACACACACACACACATCCTCGTAGAAAACCTTAATCTGGTTTAAAGGCATCTATGGAACGGCCTGTCTGTCTGAATGCTGTGCAGTATAGTGGACCTCCAGGCTGCTCCTCCCTCCACCAGCGAAGGAACACAGTATATTCAGGCCAGTTGGATCACCCTCTGCAACTTTATTTTAAATCATGATAGACAGATTGCGTGAAAAACAAGGAATTCCAAAGAATTTCCTGCTCTGGGAACAGAAGTTAAGTCTATATTTAACAACATTTGAAGCTGTCAAGAATGCCTTGTGGTTGGATAACAGAGGCAGAAAAATGTTAAAAACGCAGGCTACTGCTATACCCAAATATGGAAATATTGTTACGTCTGGTGTCTGATTCACCATCTGGAAATACTTACAACCATGAAGTCAAATAGAAAAGACGCCACAACAGAAGCCAGGAACCCTCTCCATTCTCTTTCTCCATCACCTCCTTCCCTGTGCTGTGCCTTCTCCACCCTCAACCCCTCCCCTCCCAGCCACTTCGCTAAGACGGAAACAATGAACCCTTAAGGGAGGAGGAATTGTTCCCTAACAGAGGAGTCCCTGACCTGGGGGGGGGGGACAGGACCCGGGGGTTTGCTTTCTTTATTTGCATAACACCTGACAGCCCATTGTCTTTGAAAGTCCCCACACCCAGAAAACCCAAGAGGTCCTAAGGCCCCTAGCGAATACTTTTGAATGAATGAACTTAACTCATTCCCCTACCAGCTGCCTGCGCTGGAGTGTGCAATCATCCAAACAGCTTCTCATTGTGCTCCCTGGAGTCATTCACAGAAAAGTCAGCACTGAGGGCTCTCCTAAGTGATACTGCTGAGCTCTGAAGGCAGACAGGCCCTACATAGTAAAAAAGAAGAGACGCTAACCCAGAGCTTATGGGGAGGGGGGAAACTGTACCATTTCTTATTAAAATTACTTAAGAAGTCAGAGTATGACACTTTGGAAGTTTGGAAGTTTGTGAATGGCACTAAAAATCATGGAGAGGGTCTTGTGAGGGATCTTATACGATCTTAAAATCTAACTTCCATTATGGGAAGTTATCCCTCATTTTTCTCATATCTGAATCCCTCATTTTTCTGGAGAGAGAGAGAGAGAGAGAGAGAGAGAGAGAGAGAGAGAGAGAGAGAGATTGTACTTCATTTGAAGTGGAAGGCTTCCAAATGATCCAAAGCAAAGCAGACACACACACACACACACACACACACACACACACACACACACACACACCAAGAAGTTTTTTTCCCCAGCTATCCAAAGGACACAGTGGTCCCGTTGGACTCTGTTTTGTCCTGGCAGCTTTTGCACCTGATGGTTTCAGGACAAATCACTCCACGGTCGTCTCCTCCGCCTCTGGTTTGGCTGCTCAGTTTCCAGCGCCGCCAGTCCGGGGAGAGAGGCCAGGAGGGCTTACCCGGCCTCCCGCATCCGTGAGGAAGTGCAAGTCAGCTCTGGGAGAACTCCCTGCACTCGCTTCCTCTTGGACTTCCAGCGCAGGCAGTGGGCTGGAACTAAAAATGGGAACCTCCAAAAACAAACAAGTACAACATACCAAAAAAAAAAAAAAAAAAAAAAAAAAAAAAAAAAAAAAGAGGGGGAGGGATGAGGGAAGACCTCTGGCTGGAAATTTGCCAGGCAACGAGGGAAGCTCCCCCCCACCCTCTCATTCATAAATGCCACTCTGAGTATTAATTTGCAATACACTTTTCTTGGCTAATAAACATCATGCCACAGCTTTCGGACTTGATCCGAGCACGCCTCTTTGAAGTCTACAAATAGATTCCTGGCCCAGAGACCAACTCCCCCTCCCCTTTGGACTCTTAGTAGATAACTTTACTCTCACCTTGGTTGTAAACAAGCAAACAGCTCCCTGCTTTCCCGGGTGAGGGCTTCGGCAGATGCCAGGTCCACTAGGCATCTTCAAACAAAACCACTTTTGTTCCTCCCTCTCAGGTCTTCCCATCCTCCCAAAGATCTGAAGTGCTCCCCCCAACACATAACACCACGCCCCCCCCCCATATACTCTTCGACCACGATCATCACCATCGCGCCCAAAGCATCCCACCCTCCCCAATGGAAGTCGTTATTTAAAGTGGAAAAAACGAACTTTTTTTTTTCTTTGATAAATCTGAGAAGGGGGGGGAGGTGCAATGGAGCCAGGGGAGGTGCTTGGCAGCAGCCCGCGCCAACCAACATTCCTGAGATGTTTGAGAATTCTGGAACGCGCAGACAGAGCCGACGTCACTGCAACACGCGCCGAGGCAGGCGGGTATAAAAGGCGGGCTCCCGGAGCCGGGGCAGATCGTGAGTGAGAGCGCCCCAGAGAAGTGCTTGCAACCTCCGCGCCTGCTCCGCCAAAACCTCGAGAGAAGGACGCCCTCAGTCTCTGCCCTAGCCTCATCGCACTCCCGGAGCATCCGATACCGCTGTTCACCGGCTTGTTGGATTCCGTGTCGCTTCACTCGCCCCGGCTCTTTCAGCGCGCCACAATGAGCTCCAGCACCGCCAGGGCGCTCGCCATAGCCGTCACCCTTCTCCACTTGACCAGGCTGGTGAGTTGGACTTGTTTAACCACCGCTTCGCTGTCCACCCTCCCCGGTCCCTCTCCCTGGGCCCTGATCGTCCACAGAAGGGAAAGTTAGCCTAAAAAGTTCGGAGGTAACTGTTGCTTTAAGCCCGGACGACGTGTCCTGGGGGCCTCTTTCTGGGGCGCAGCCGCCGGGGTGGCCCGGGTGGCTGGACGCGATCCAGACACTCCAGGTGGATGGAGCCCCAGAGCCAGACCCATGCCCAGGGCAGTTTAGGCGCCTCTCCGGAGCAAGGCAAAACAGCCTCACGCGTTTCTTCTCCCTCTTCTAGGCACTCTCCACCTGCCCCGCTGCCTGCCACTGCCCTCTGGAGGCGCCCAAGTGCGCCCCGGGAGTCGGGTTGGTCCGGGACGACTGCGGCTGTTGTAAGGTCTGCGCCAAGCAACTCAACGAAGACTGCAGCAAAATGCAGCCCTGCGACCACACCAAGGGGCTGGAATGCAATTTTGGCGCCAGCTCCACCGCTCTGAAAGGGATCTGTAGAGGTAAGAGGCTTGTGGTTTGGCCCCTTTAAAAAAAATAATAGTCCCCATAGTCCAGAAGTTTAGTAATTTTGAGACCATGTATGGTGACGCTTTGTTGATGGTAGCTTGGCAGAAAGGCTCATGATTTCAGCAGTCTGGAATGCAATTCAGTGTGTCTGGGCCCAACGAAAAGCGCATACGGAAAAGTGATCCTGACTAACTTATTGTTCAGCGCTGGAGTCTCGGGGGAATTGTAGCGAACTTTACCATACAGTGAATTGAACAGCGGAAAATATGTAAGAGTTGCAGTCTGCGGCGGCGAATCTTAACCTTCTCCTCTCTCTCTTGGTCGTCTCTACAGCTCAGTCAGAGGGCAGACCCTGCGAATATAATTCCAGAATCTACCAGAACGGGGAAAGCTTCCAGCCCAACTGTAAACATCAGTGCACATGTATTGATGGCGCCGTGGGCTGCATTCCTCTGTGTCCCCAAGAACTGTCTCTCCCCAACCTGGGCTGTCCCAACCCCCGGCTGGTGAAAGTCAGTGGGCAGTGCTGCGAGGAGTGGGTTTGTGATGAAGACAGCAGTATCAAGGACCCCTTGGACGACCAGGATGACCTCTTTGGATTTGATGCCTCGGAGGTGGAGCTGACGAGAAAGAATGAGTTAATTGCAGTTGGAAAAGGCAGCTCGTTGAAGAGACTTCCTGGTAAGTGGAAATCGAACTCTTAAGATATTCTACTGAAACTCATTCTCGGTCTGCAGCTCTGTAGAAGCCGGTGTGTGTCAGCATGCCTCTGAAGAGCCTTCCGTTTGGTTTATTTTCTAGTCTTTGGCACGGAACCCCGAGTCCTTTACAACCCTCTGCATGGCCAGAAATGCATCGTTCAGACAACGTCGTGGTCCCAGTGCTCCAAGAGCTGCGGAACTGGCATCTCCACACGAGTTACCAATGACAACCCAGAGTGCCGCCTCCTGAAAGAGACCCGGATCTGTGAAATCCGTCCTTGTGGACAACCGGTGTACAGCAGCCTGAAAGTAAGTTCCTTCAGGGACTTGACCATGACCCCAGCACGTGGGTGGGATATGAGCCGCTCTAGTCCAGAAAGAGAAAAGTCCATGATAATTTGGAAAGAAATTGTCTTTTTGAAACCTAACACTATTGGGTTTCACATAGTGGTTAAGTGTACCCCTCCCAAAACAATAACAAAATTAAATGACTGACTTTCTTTGTTCTTTCTTCCAGAAGGGCAAGAAATGCAGCAAGACCAAGAAATCCCCAGAACCCGTCAGGTTTAACTATGCTGGTTGCTCCAGTGTGAAGAAATATCGGCCCAAATACTGCGGCTCCTGCGTGGATGGTCGGTGCTGCACGCCTCTGCAGACCAGGACCGTGAAGATGCGGTTCCGCTGCGAAGATGGGGAAATGTTTTCCAAGAATGTCATGATGATTCAGTCCTGCAAATGTAACTACAACTGCCCACACCCCAACGAGGCATCGTTTCGCCTCTACAGTCTGTTCAATGATATCCACAAATTTAGAGACTAAATGCCTCCTGGGTGCCTAGTGTTGGGTGGATTGAGAAGGGATGTGAGCATCATGGAGTCATGAGTGGGGTGGTGGGGTGAAGGGGCTCATTGTAGAAGGGATGGATGCCTTGCTCATCATTGAGTAGCATTAAGGTATTTCCAAACTGCCAAAGGGGCTGGTGTGAATGAACACTAATGCAGCCGCAGTTGGGAAATACTTCGCTTCATAGTACTGGAGCACGTGTTATGCTTCGTTTTGGAGCGTGTAGTGTGGATGACGTTCTGTTTTCTGTTTGTAAATTATTTGCTAAGTGTATTTTTTTGCTCTCGATCTCCCCTCCTCTCTTGGTTCTACAATTGTAATAGAGATAATAAGATTAGTTGGGCAGTGTGAAAGCCTTGTTTGTCCTCTGACAGAAGTAAATGAAAAGGCCTCCTGTTCCTTCCTGAGGGAGGGGGACACTCTGTGAGTGTCCAAGAGGCAGCTACCTGCGCTCTAAACTGCAAACAGAAACCAGGTGTTTGAAGACTGAATGTTTTTTATTTATCAAAATGTAGCTTTTGGGGAGGGAGGGGAAATGTAATACTGGAATAATTTGTAAATGACTTTAATTTTATATCAGTGAAGAGAATTTATTTATGAAATTAATCATTTAATAAAGAAATATTTACCTAATATCTGAGTGTTTGCTGTTCAGTATTTTTAGAAGCCATCCAAGTTATCAGGAACAATTGCTCCTGTTAATCATTCCAACAGGATTCTTTGTGAGGCCCTACTTTGTGTGGAGAACTATTCCAGGTGCCCTACTTGGATAACTGAACTGACTTAACTTGGGTAACTGGTAATTTGTCTCAGGAGAGAAAACAGGACAGTGGCTGTCTTCACACATCTTGAAAGGAGGAATGATGGTATACAACTCATCAGTATGGAGGGCAAAATCTTGAACACGGGCATTGTGTGAAGCTTAAAAAAGGAAGCTGAAATTAAATTTGCTAACCTAAAGCAATATGATTTATTTTCATAAGAACTGAAAGGAAAACTTAGTCCCCAGCTCCAGGGTGGTTCTGGGTGTCGCATAAGGAGACAATGAGGAACCTTTTAATAACCTTTGGCCATAACTGCTTGGTTGAACTGTATTTGAAAAGGTCACTTAGTTTGTAACTGTGCTTTCTAAATTTTGTTTCTAAAAATTAGGGAAGCTGCTTTTACATTTTACCCTTGGCTAGTATGGGGGCAGGGGCAGGGGTGGGAATCTTGGGATCTATAGGGTCCCTGGTTTGTTAATAGATGGGTTTGAAGCAAAGACTGTGTTAATCCTAATAAGGCAGCGATTAGGTAAACACGCTACCAAATGCAAAAGAATGTGAGGAATTCCAGTACTTTCCAATCTCTAAAGGACCAGGGCAATCCACCCCCTTGGTTACATTATATTGGTGGCAGAGGGAGCATTTAGATAGAGTGGGCTATCCAGAGGTCAAAGGCTAGACACTGAGCATTCCTAAAAGAAAGGGCTTGACTGCTGGGCTAGGAGAGGTAGGGACAGCTGCATTAACGTTTGTGAAAAAAAAGCCAGTAGCCTGTGTTAGAAAAATCTACATCTTTAGAAAGCGCTGACAATAAACCTTTTATAGAGAGAAATTTTCCTTTCGCTGTTCGTTCTGGCTCCCATTCAAATCCATAGTGAGACATTTCAGGCTGCACTTGAAGAGAGTACTTGAATTTTTAGACATAAGAGAAAGCACTTTGAGAAGTGGGGGAGGGAGACAGCTCTTGGGATTCTATAAGGGAGTTTTCTAAATAGATGAATTAATATTGATGATTTAATAAGGACCTAAAAGAGACACTTCCCCAGCATCTGTTTTAGACCTTACTAGATGAATGCTAGGAAAATCTAGTCACAAGTCTTCCCTCTGATGTGGACAGTATCTTGCCTAAAATACTTTAGATTGTACCTTCTGAACTGTCCACTT